ATATATATATATATATAAATGTATACTTTTTTTGCCATACTTTTTATTCTTTTGCGCTGCAGTCGCGGAGAAAGTTCGAAACGCTTCCAAGGAAATCAGAAAGACGCGGCGGGCGCGACGGAAAGGAGTGAAAGCGGAACGTGTTTTGCGCTTCAAAACCAAACAACAACAACAAACAGACAGGAGTTACTCACCTCTCCGTGGCGAGAATCCGCTTCTACTGAAGACGGCTGCTTCCTTTCCGGTGTTTTCTTCTCCCTCCCCCCTTCTTCTTCTTTTTTTTATTATCCTCTAAACAAACCGAAAACTTTTCTGCGGAGTTGGGAGTATCATCGGTGCGGCACCGGCCCTTTCTGGACGAACACGCAGCCGCAACCGAGAGATAACGTTGAGACGCGTTTTTTTGGAGAGGTGGGGTGGAGGGAAAAGAGACAGAAAAAAAGAAAAAAAAAAAGAAAAAGAAAAAAGAAGTAGTTAACACCTCCTCTGGTTTGTTAGTTTGCCACAGCGCAACCGGAGAGTAGGACGAGGGGAGAGTAAGGGACTTAGAAAGAGAGAGAGAGGCTGACTTTCCACCACAGACACGCTGTAAAGTGGGTATCAATGGCACGATCGCTCACAGAGAGGGACGACCAGTGAGGAAAGGAGCGGCGGAGCCGGCGAGAGAGAGCGCTGGATCGCAGAAACGGTGGCAGGCAGTGGTGTGAGGGGAGGGTGGCGGTGCTGCTGCTGCTGCGGAGGAGGAGGAGGAAGAGGAGAGGTGTGGGGAGGAGGGGAGTCACAGTGCTCAACAGCGACGTGTGTAAGGCTGGAGCTGAGCAGAGAGCGTGGGGGTGGATGAGGAGGGACGTGGAGGGAGACGGGAGGGGAGGGGAGGAGGGCGACCGGGGGTCCAGGGCGCACCGAGGTGCAGTGCTGCCGCGCAGCGCTCGGGTTGCTCAGTGCCGTACGAAAGCACAGAGAAGGAAAACCTCACAAAACAAAACATTTTTTTTTATCTAAGAATCACCCGATTCTTTTTTTTTTTCCTCCTCATCTCAACTGTTGTCCATAATTGCAGACAAACCAGCGCCCTAAACCGAGCAAGAGCAAACCTTACGGATTAAAGCACTCACATATTTAATAGAGTAAACATGAGAATAAAATTTAAATCAAAAAACAATAATAAAAACATTTTAAATCTTGTGTGGACTGTAACTGGGTTGTTTCCCCCCCGCTCCTTTGCTGTCTGGCGTTTCGTTCCCCTGGGTGATTTCCACTGCGCTTTGTGCGCAAAGTGAATGAATTAT